GAACACTTTTACACTGTTGGTGGAAGTGTAAACTAGTGCAACCTCTGTGGAAAGCAGTGTGGCGATTCCTAAAAGCTCTAAATATCAACCTCCCCTATGACTCCGCAATCTCCCTACTGGGAATATATCCTGAAGAACTCAAATCACTCTATAAAAAAGATACTGCACACGTATGTTTTATTGCAGCATTGTTCACAATAGCAAGAACCTGGAAACAACCATGCTGCCCATCAAAAGAGGACTGGATTAAAAAATGTGGTACATATACATGATAGAATACTACGCAGCCATAAAAAAGAACAAAATCATGAACTTCGCAGCAACCTGGATGGAACTAGAGTCTATAATACTGAGTGACCTCTCACAGAAACAAAGATCCGAGTATCACATGTTCTCACTCATATAATGGACCTTGAACATCCAACGTAATACTATAAGAAAATGACTGATGGTACTGGGAAACTATGGGGGGGGAGGGAGATGAGATTAACAGTAGCAAATATTTGTCTGGGGATGGGGAAACACCTCTTATTCAACAGGGTGCCTGAATGAAACATAATTGTATACCTAACCTTTAACTGTACCCCACAAAACCATAATAAAAAATATTGATTATGAAAAAAAAAGTGACCAAAGAACATGAACAGACACTTCTTAAAGGAAGACATATAAGCAGCCAATAAACATTAAAAAATGCTCAGCATCAATAATCATCAGAGAAATGACAAATCAAAACCACAGTGAGATACCACTTCACACTTGGTCAGGATGGCTATTATTAAAAAAGTCAAAAAACAATAGATGTTGATGAGGTTGGGGAGAAAAGGTAACAATCACATACTTGGTGGGAATGTAAACTAGTTCAACGCCTGTGGAAAGCAATTTGGATGTTTCTAAAAGAACTAAAAATAGAGCTACAATTTGACTGAGGAATCCCACTACTGAGATTATAACGAAAGGAAGACAAATCACTCTACCAAAAAAAATTTGCATTTGTATGTTTATTGCAGCACTAGTCACAACAGCAAAAACCTGGAAGCAACCCAGATGCCCATCAAAGGTGAGCTAGATAAAGAAAATGTGGTATATTTACACTATGGAATACCATAAGGAAGAACAAAATAATGTCCTTTGCTCCAACAAGAATGTAGCTGGAGACCATTATTCCAAGTGATTTATTACAAAAACAAAAACAGATTACTACATGTTCTCATTCATAAATGGGCATTAAACATTGGGCACACAGGCACAAGGATAGGAACAACAGGCACTGGACACTGCTAAAGGAGAGACAGGGAATAAGGGATACAAAATCACCCATTGGGTACCATGACCACTACTGGAGCGGAAGGGGAGGGCTCCTCAGAATCCCAAACCTCACCTGCATGCAATGTACTTATGTAACAAATCCTCACATGTACCCCATGATTCTAAATTTCAAAAAAATAACCTATAAAGTATTTTTCTATATATTTATATGTAACATATTCTTACCTAAAAAATTACCTATAAAGTACTTTTCTATATATTTATATGTAAAATATTATGTCTTTATATAGCTATCTATTATCTATGAGATAAATACTGCATAATTATATCTATTCCGTATGTAATCGTTTATATAGTTATATATTATCTGAAATAAATACTGCATAATTATATCTGTTCTGTATATAATAGTCATAGATATATATTAGTTATAATAATTATGTATAATATATAATTAATAGTATTATTATACATAATAATTACAATTACTAGAGTATAATTTTTTTTTTTGAGTTGGCATCTCACTCTGTCACCAAGACTGGAGTGCAGTGGTATGATCATGGCTTACAGCAGCCTCTAACTCCTGGGCTGAAACCAATCCTCCCATCTTAACATCCTAAGTAGCTAGGACTAAAAGGGCTAAAAGGGCATACCACCATACCCAGCTAATGTTTTAATTTTTGTAGAGATGAAGTTTCACTGTATTGCCCAAGCTAGTCTTGAACTCCTCTGGGCTCAAGTGATCCTTCCACCTCAACCTCCCAAAATGCTGGGATTACAGGAGTGAGACACTGTGCCCAGCCAAGTATAATTATATTTAATATCTTATATATAATATATATAATCATACAAAAAGGTATGATTATACATCTGAATAGGCATTTGATGATAATTATTTTATCATATATAATATATATATATAATTTTATCCAGTATATAAAACATATATTTAACATGAGTATAATATATCATTATATAATAAAGACTATAGTATTATTTAGAGTCCCAGTATATATGAGACCATTCTAATCATCAGACTGACATATTAACAAATGACTTGAGCTTTTCCAGGATCTCACCTTCCACCAAAATCTACATGCACTCACCTACCATTCACTCTCTTAGTTCCTATTTCCCACCCACCACCAGTGCACTGAAACTGCATCCTCCAATGTGAACAATAAACTTTTACTTGCTGCATCCTGCAAATACTTTCCATCCTTTACCTTCTCTCTCCATGACAGGTGACACTGTTGAACATTCTCCATTATTGAGATATTCATTCCATTGATTTTCATGTCATCTGTCTCTTCTGCTTGTATATAACCCTTCTAGCATTTTCTGAGACTCTGCTTGATCAGAAAACTCTCAGTATCAACACTCCTGGGAGTTCCACCCCAAACCCTGTTATCCAATCTCAGAGTTAAAATTCCTACTCCTAAGTAGATGTCCACAAATCCATACTTTTAGCATAGGCTTCTATCCTGAAATTTCAAAATCATATCTCTAACTACCTATAATCCATATGAAGGAAGGTCCCCAAAAAAGGAATTTATTTATTAAAAATTATGTATCCATTCTTTTTTTTTTTTTTGAGTTGGAGTCTCACTCGGTTACCCAGATTGGAGTGCAGTGGCCACTCCCAGCCACCACAGCCTCAACCTGCTAGGCTCCAGCGATCCTTCCGCCTCAGCCTTCTGAGTAGCCGAAATTACAGGCATGCACTACCACGCCCGGCTGATTTTTTGATTTACTATAGAGATGAGGGTTCGCTGCGCAGGTGGGTCTCGAACAACAGGCTCAGGCAATCAACTCACCTCAGCCTCCCAAAGGCGTGGGATTACAGGCTGAGCCACAGAGCCCGGCTTGTATCCATTCTTAATGTTTACATTTCACTCAGCTTCAAAGTATTCCCCCATTAGATATAATATGCCTATCAATACGCTTTTTCTACCACTCACGACAGTTTCTGAACTTATTGATTTTGATGCCTTTTAGTGCTTCTGCTGTTTTTTTGTTTCACCATTTCTACATCGGCAAAACATTTCCTTTTAAATACTTTTTTCATTCAAGGAAACAAACAAAAAAAAATTCACTCAGGGTGGGATTGAGTGAATAGGGAGGGTGGGATATGGAGATCATGGAGTTGAACGTCAAAAACTGCTGAACACTCAGGGTGGTGTGGGCAGGTGTGCTCGTAAATCACCCATTATGAAATGGGCAAACGCATGGAACAAATCTCCAAAAAAACCTGAAGCCAAATGTAGCCTCTCACAACACTAGCTGGTACACTGATGCTGATGGGCTCCTAGAACACTTACGTAGTGGGGAAAGCCTGTCCCACCAGAGGCTCACCCTCTAAAAGATAATTCTAGGCTTTTTTGGGTCCCCCTTCATATATACCTCAAAGAAAGCATATCTAAAACCAAATTAATGATCTTCCTTCTAACATCAGCTACCATTTCTCAAAGTATATGGAACCATTCATTATCCCAAACCAGGAAGATGAGACTCTACCAAGGACCTCTCCTTGACCATCTAATTAGCCATAAAGCCTTACTGATTCCATCTTCTATATCTCTCTTTTCTCACTCCCATTTCCCTGATTAGCCCCCAGCTATGAACCGAATTGTGCTCCCCAAAAATGTGTATGTTAAAGCCCCAACTCCAATGTGACTGCATTTGGAGTAAGGAAGAAATTAAAGTTAAATGCAGTCATCATGGTGGGGTCCTAATGCAAATGGGTTAGTGATCTTATAAAAAGACACTAGAATGCCCACACTCTCTTTCTACCATGTGAGGACACAGTGAGAAGGCTGCCCATCTGCAAGCCAAAAAGAGAAACTTCACCAGGAACAGGATCTTCTAGCACCCTGAGCTTGGACACCCCCGTCTCCAGAACTATGAGAAATAAATGTATCGCTTAAGCCACCTAGTCCATGGTATTTTGTTATGACAGCCCTAACTAAGACACTCTCCTCACTTCCTACCCTATTAGTATTGCACAGCCCCAAATCCTCCTCTACTCTTCCACCAGAAAGATTTTCCACACAGTAAAAATGAGGTCTGCTGAAAGGTCTTAAACAGCACACCAGTATCTAAAAGATAAAATGCAAATGCATTTGTGTGACATGGAAGACAGGCCAAGCTCTATGTCTTGTACCTTAATCTTTCAACAATACTCAACCCTCTTGTTTTCTGAACAGGCCATACCTGCCTGCTCTTTCATGTTTCTGTATCTGGGAATATGCTCTTCTCCCAGCTGGAATGCCCATCAGGCCTTTGTATCAGGCAAACTCCATTCAGTCTTCAAATGTCAACTCATGCCCTACTTCCCTTAATTTGTGCTCCCATTACTCTTTAAATATACTCCCATAAGAGCATTTATCTGATTGTATTCCAATTACTTATTTGCATATCTGTACCTCTCTTGAATCACAGAATGTACTTTTTCATCTAGGTATTCTATAGAGCCTGGCATATAGTAAATGTTCAATACTTATGTTCATGAATAAATGAAAAAAGACCACAGTGGTAGATCCTTAATCGATGTTCTAAAGAGAACTTTAATGATGCCCTTTTCTAACAAATGATATATTAGTACAGTAGTAGTATGATCCAATGGTATTAGATCAGAACATCTCTGACATGCAATAAAGTAAATGAACACATCCATCCAATTATTATACTTGAGTGATAACCGACACGCTAAAATTTCCTGCTATCCTTACCTCCTTCAGAAGTTCAACACTGTGTTCTAAAAGGCGAACTAAAGATGAGCATTCTCCAGTTATCTTTAAGCTGACTTCACAGACACATAGCAGCTGAAGGGTCAGTTGAGTAAGCTGAGTTTTCCAGAAAACGGGATAACGCAAAAGACTTAAATATACTTCCTCGATAAACAGCATCACTTCTGTTGTCTGTATCAAATCTTTAATCTGTTTTTTAAAAATCATTATATTAAAATAATATACTAACCAAAAGATAGTTTTAAGTTATACAAGAAGCTTTTAACAATAAAATCCCAAATCTTCTAAACCTACAAAGACTTGAGATTTTAAAAAGTTCTATAACTCAGTGAGGGTTAAACAATACAACTGTGCCTTCTTTTTTTTGTCACTAGCCAAAATACAGTTTGCTACTGGTTTTGTTACTGCTGGCTGGCACAAATTATTTCCATTTATTTTCCTAGTTTCTCTTAGTGCAGATGTCTTAAGACAAATTACATGACAGTGCCAACGTATCGAGGGAAAATAATTAAGGACGGTTTTGAGTTCTCCAAATAAACTCTCCTTTCTACAATTCCAACATAGATAACTGGTAGTAAAGGGTCACAATGTTAGTTTAACATGTTGCTAAACCTTTCATCTGCAAGACATTTGCTCAGACAGCCTTAACTGAGAGCATCATTTCCACACTTGGCAGATGTAATAAAAGACCATATAGGATGTCCTCTCAACAGGATAACATATTAGATAGGAAGGACTTGGGTGCTCTTGAAAATCCCAGTTCAATTCAAACCCAGCTGTTCTGATCAAAATTCTGGAGTTGGTATTAAGGATATGGTCCTCTCACAGACATATTGGCATTTCCCAGAGATTACAAACAATGAACCATCTGCTTCAATCAGAAGGCTTGTGTTTGTTAAATTCATCAAGAGGAAAGCCTACAGTTGACCAGCTGTACCTTTTACCAGCAGTTATCACCATAATAGCCCAAACAACTACAAGTTACAGTCAGAAATAAAAATCAGTTCCTAGTCAACAAGAGAAAGAAAATTAGAAAATCAAGGGAAAGAAACAGCAGAAAATATTAATTTATAAAAAATAAATGTGAACATTCCAATAGCTAAAGTATTTTGCTCTCTTGCAAACATACAGTACGAAAATCTAAAGGCCAACAAGACAGGTTTAAAACAAAGTAACGCCAAATGTTTATTTGATGGTATATTTCACTGTGTATAGTTTTTGTGCATACTTGAAATTTTCCATAATAAAAAAAAAATTCAAAGACAACCTCAGCAAGCTAGTATTAAAGGCTCTCTAATCTCTAACATTCTCAAAATTCTAAACAAATAATTTTGAAGTAATGTTCAATCTTTATGTATTAATAGAAATAGATCATGTGCAATGGATAATATGTGAGGTGACAAGAGTTGCAATTAAAATGAAAAACAGACTTCTACAAATATAAAATGGAAGCACAATTGGCGTGAGAAGAAAAAGAAACAGGAGTTTCACTGACCACTCTCACATCAGAGGTCAATAGGGTGGCATAGCTATTTCTAAATAAAATAAATTTTCTTAAAGTTAATTTAAATGTGATACTATCCCAGTGCTCAGTATAGGTCAGACCACATTGACAGCATTGTATGCAGCTCTAAGAAGACCATTTCACAGTAGCATATTTCAAGCACCAGTGAACTAGAGAATTCCTGGCAAAGGACAGTAAGAAGTCTAGAAACCATTTCACATGTGATGAAATGGAGAAGAATGTGATGAAAGAAAAAAAGAAGGGGGAGAGGGAAGAAAGAATGGAAAGGAAGGGGAAAAAATAAGACCATTTAGAATACAGATAGGGTTTTTTAGAAGCTTATTTGTATTGTTCTGAGAAGAATGTAAACTAGTGAGTCACTAGAAAAATAGAGGTCAATAAGAAGTACTTGCTAAAAAGACGGCTGCCTTGCAGGACAGTATGCTCCTTCTGTCACGAAAATATTTAGTTAGTCATGGGACAGTTATGTTTTATAGAGCATAGGAAGTACCTGTCATGAGCGGGAACTGGATTATTTTGCCTTTAGACTCCTAGCTCTCTTCATTCTAGTAAAGCTGTTCTGTTAAAGTGATTAAGTAAATTTATGCTGCCAGTTCCACTAATTCCAAACGATGTATCCCTTTTTTTCTCACATATCTGTTATATTAACAAGCCACAGAGTCCCAGAAATCTTCCCCAGAGCTCATTTCTAAAAGTATTTAGGCTTGTCAATACAGGTTCATGAAGATGAAGGCAAGCACTTACCAAAGAGCACGGCGTAGGGTAATACAGGCCTGGTGTGGAAAAAATGTATCCTAGTGCAAGATGTTCTGCCTATACATTGCTTTACTGCCCACACAAAACAAAAGCTTTGGAAAAGCCACAGGAGAATTCAGTTTAATTAAATTTTCTCTGCCTTGATTACAGGAAAGCCTATTTATGAGTCGCAAAGGAAAGATTTACTCTAGTCGTTCCTTACCAACACAAACTTAAAACAGGTCATCTGTGACCTCAAGTGATCACTTTGAAATATATTCACAGATTTCCTCCAACAGCTAAGCAGCATGGTGCTCAGATTCCAGGCAAATGGCAAACCTCCATTATGGGAGGGGGATAGCCTGGTAAATGAATCACTATACTAAAATCACTACACTGGCAATTGAAATTTTCTTTTAATCTCCAATTACACAGAATTAGCTCAACTTTCTCTTTCCCATGAACTCCGTCTCCATTTTATCCATATCTCTGTTAATCACCTTTCATTCATCTTTGAATTATAAGAATAGATAATACAGTATTTTTCCTAACTCATTTACTTCTGTGTGCTTCTCAAGATCAGAGTCCCTCAGAGCCACTGCATATACTGGAAGGGGACTGTGGAAAGTGAAATTTAGCCAGTAATCAGCTCACCAGGCTTTGCATCATAGGGCTATATCTGCCCAGAGACATATCTTTTTAAAATATGCACAAAGAAGTCTTTTTTTTTTCTTGTTACTATCCCAGTGTCTTCACAAGGTGAAACTCAATTCAAAATCTTTTCCCTGACAAGTCTTTCCTAAACAAAAGAAATTTTTCATTCCTGTTAATCCCTGGATGAATAATATTAATGTATAATTTCTATGAATTTGGTTAAAATAGTATATATTAATGCTAAATCTAGATTTTGTTCCTTTATCTTCTCCAAAAGACTACAAACATTTCTAGAGTCAGTATCATATCTGAGTTTGCCAAATCAAGTATGTTCTAGATATACTTTATGTATGACACTAATAAACACTGATGCTGAATCTATATTAGTGATAGAGTACGAAAGACCTTACCTGCAAACACGGAACCATGTCACAACACAGTTGAAGTATCTGCTGTTCCAACATTGATGGTTGTTCTTTGTCACAAAGAACTCGGGGTTGAAGCAAGACTTTCAGCAGGGCTACTCGAAGGTTAGCATACTCTTGTAGTTGGGATGGTTCACAATATAGATACCTTAGAAAAGGTGCCATTATTTGAACACATGAAACTTCTGACCTGTAAGTAATATAATACATCAGCTAGTCACTGAGTTAAATATACTACCAAGTTAATAAGTAGTAAATGTCACCTCATGGTTCACAACATAACACAAACTACCATACTACCACCATCAAGTGTAACTTATTTTTATGATTCTTCTGTTCCACTAGGACCTACCTAAATCTACACCAAACGGTTCTTTGTGCACTGGGGTAAGTGACTCAACACCTGAAGACTATAAGCTGAATGCCCAGGATGAAGAAAGTCTCCATCTGCACATTAGAACAGCACTTACATCTCAAGGACTAGTATTTGGTGAACATGAGAATCATCAGACAACCTTTTTAGAATTAGAGATGTCAGGATCAGCTCTCCAGGAGTATGGTACAGGCATGCATTTTGGAAAACTCTACAGGTGAGAATCTATGTAAAACAAATCCATACAAATAGTCCAAGATAATTATGATGATAGTTAACATTTATTTGTTAACCCTTAAAGTGGTCTAGTTACTGCACTTTACGTCTTTAAACCCATTTGATCATGACAACCCTATGAAATAAAAAACATTATCCCCATGGCACAGATGATAGAATTGAAGGATAGAGAGGTGAAGTAATTTGCCAAAGCCCTCCGCTTAAGCAGTCTCCACTCAAAGAAGGAAGACCCTACAAATCTTCGTATCTATTTAGATTTCATTAAATCCCGCTCACTCCTAGTCCAAAATCACTAGAATGCCAGCATAACCTTCAGAAATAAAAATCTGGTCATTAACCAGCTTAAAACAGTTTACCTATTATTATTATCATTATTATTATTATTATCATCATCATCATCATCATCATTTTGAGTCACGTTGTCTCACTCTGTCACCCAGGCTGGGCTGCAGTGACACAGAGTTCACTGCATCTTTGAACTGGGCTCAAGCTATCCTTCCACCACAGCCTCCCAAAGTGCTGGGTTTACAAATGTGAGCCACCATGCCCGGCCCCAATTTGCCCTTAAAATAAAATATTAGCCCAATCCAAAAACCCTCCATAATTTGGTCTCTGCTTTTCTTTCCAGTCTCATTTCTTGCTCTTCTTCACCACTGAACTACAGTAAACTTCATTCAGGTCTTAAATTGAGACATCTGGGTTTTCTTCTCAACTGCTGATCTCTCCACTTGTAAGGATCTCCCCTTCTGCTCTTCCTGTTCCTCCTCCTGCCTAAATCTATCATCCTCAGTTACCTGCTTTAAAATGACTTCCTGGGGTCCTTTCTTGACACCTTGCCTTGGTCAGATCCCCAGTATGTGCTTTCACGGTCATTACTTTCTTTTTCTTTTTTTTTTTTTTAAGACAAACTCTTGTTATGTTGTCCAGACTGGAGTGCAGTGGTCATTCAGAGGCGCAAACATAGTGCACTTTGGCCTCGATTCCTGGGCTCAAGAGATCCTCCTGCCTCGGTCTTCTGAGTAGCTGTAGGCTATTGTCATTACATATTTAATATCTATATCACCTGCCAGACTATAAACCAAATGAGACCATGGACTTGTTTATTGCTATGTCATCAATAATACTAGGCCTTCAAAGAGATGCTCAGTTATTTAATTAATTCAGCTACACTAAGTTATAGAGTAGTATTATAATTAGCATGCATCAATTAAATATCCTAATTTTGTTTTTTAGTGCTTTTCCTATTTACTATACATAGGGAGTGATTAGATAAGATATGAAAATGACCCAGGGCTTACATATTCTCAAGAAGCAAACAGTCTAAAAAAGACGTCAGTTTTGTTCCTTAACCAGAGGATAGAAAGTGTAAATTGCCAAAAGAACAGCATATAGTACAATTTTTTCATGGAAGAAATGGCAGTTAAATTATGCTTGACAACATAATCTTATGATACCATACATTCCACAGTAACGTGATTACAAAATACCATTAATATTAATAAAATGCAAAAGGTTTTTTGGGGGGTTTTTTGCCTGTAATCCCAGCACCTTGGGCAGTAGAAATGTAAAAGTTTTAAACCAATAATATTTAATTTTATTCATCCATGCAGTCATTTGGAAAAATGTATTGACCACCTACATTATGCCAATCAATCATCTATATGCTGGAAACAAAGCAAGAAACAAAAATAGATAGTTCCTGCTCTCATGGAGCTCACAGTCAGGAGGAATTTTTTTATCACATGTTCAAATAATATATAAAACTCAAAAGTAGGAATTTTGAGTTCATAATTATTACTGAAACATTTTTATCACATCATCCACTTTACAAAACTAAAAAAACTTCATAAAGAATCGCATGAGGTATGGAGTAGAATATAAAGTGAAAGTTTCCAGAAAGCGACTTAAGAAATCTTGCTTCCTCTTCTCTCTTTAATAATGTATTCCCCAAAGAATAAATATTATCCAGGTATCCACAGCATCCATGGATAGCTAATCAGTTTTCCCCTACATTGAGATGCCAAAGGTGAAATGTAAGATCCATGTTAAAGAAATATATTTCCTGGAAGCCATTATGATTTGACATCAGGAGCATAATGTTGAGCTTCCTTAAAGACAATATACTATTTTGGAAAACCCCTTGGCTTAATCTCTCCTAAGTATAGAGTCTACATTTCCTATGTGGTATCTGATAATTAAGTATCACTTCAGTGGAGTATGAAGTTGCTAGGGCTTACAGAGCAAAGGAATATTAAAAAAAAACAGGCAATCTGAAATCCCAAAGTGATTAAGAATATTTTAAAATGTAACCAATTGTACATGTATCTACACCCAAGCTTTTTACCACTAAGGGAGAAGCAGTAGAAATAAACCTAGACTGAAAATCAAAAACTGATATTAGGCCCAACTAGACCACTAGCTGGCCATGAAACCTTAAGTCATTTAATGTTGCTCTCCTTAGTTCCCTCAACTGAAAGTTATATGTTAGATTAAATTAACCTTAATACATTCAGGCCTAAAAAACATGATACCATTATAATTCTCAGTGAAAATGAAGTCTTAACATTACAAGTCTTCAATAAATGAGTGAAGATAAAATAATGCCCAAATATCGAGTGCAGTGACACACACCTATAGTCTCAACTACTCAAGAGACAAGAGGATTGCTTGAGTCTAGGAGTTCAAGTCCAGCCTGGGCAACAGAGCACAAGACACAAGCTCTTAAAAATAACGCAAAAATAAATGGACAGAACCTAGAAACATTTCCCATGAAAACTAGAACAAGACAAGGCTGCCCACTCTTACCCCTCTTGTTCAACATCGTGTTGGAAGTCCTAGCTAGGGCAATTAGACAAGAGAAGGAAACCAGGGATATCAAATAGGAAAAGAGGAAGTCAAGTTATCCCCCTTTGCTGATGATATGATCCTATACCTCGAAAAACCAAAAGAATCCGTCAAAAGCCTGCTTGCACTGACAAAGGACTTTGGCAAAGTCTCAGGGTACAAAATAAATGTGCAAAGATGGTTGTATTATACGCCAACAACAAGCAGGCAGAGAACCAAATAAAAAGCACAATCCCATTCACAATAGTCACACACACAAAAAGAAATACCTCGGCATCTTCCTAACCAGAGAAGTGAAAGACATTTACAATGAGAACTACAAAACACTGCTCAAAGAAATCCAAGAAGACACAAACAAATGGAAAAATAATCCATACTCATGAGTAAGAACAATTAACATTGTTAGGATGTTCATCCTACCAAAGGCAATCTACAGATTCAACGCAATACACATTCAATGACCAATATCATTCTTCTCAAACCTGGAAATGACAATACAGAAATTCATATGGAAACATAAACGACCAAAAATGGCCATAACAATCCTTAGCAAAAGAAACAGAGCAGGAGGTATCACACTTCCAGACTTCAAACTTTACTATAAGACTACAGTAATCAAAACAGACTGGTAGTGGTGCAAGAACAGGCATACAGGCCAATGGAATAGGATAGAGATTCCGGAAGCAAAGTCTCAATTCCTCAACCAACTCATCTTTGACAAAGCCTCCAACAATAACTACTGGGGAGGGGAGAACCTATTCAGTAAATGGTGCTGGGAAAACTGGTTGATCACATGCAGAAAATTGAAACAGGACCCCTACCTATCACCATACACAAAAATTGACTCTAAATAGATCAAAGACCTAAACGTAAAATCTTAAACTATTAGAATCTATTAGATAATGCAGGAAACTCCCTTATGAAAATTGGAATGGGCAACCAATTCCTGATCAAAATCCTAAGTGTCCATACCATAAGAAATAAGATAGACAGGTGGGACCTCATCAAACTGACGAGCTTCTGCAAAGCAAAAGAAACCATCAAGAAAGCAGGGAGACAGCCCACAGAATGGGAAAAAAATATTTGCATATCTGTATATCTGACAAAGGCCTAACATCTAGAATCTACAAGGAATTCAAACGTACTGAAAAGAAAAAAAACAGTCCCATGAAAAAGTGGGCAAAAGACACGAATAGACACTTCTCAAAAGAAGATATACAAGTAGCCAACAGACACATGAAAAAGTGCTCAGCCTCATTCATCATCAGATAAATGCAAATCAAAACTACATTGAGATACCACCTAACCCCAGTAAAAATGGCCACCATTAATAAAACAAACAACAGATGCTGGCGAGGATGCGGAGAAAAGGGGATGCTTCTCCACTGCTGGTAGGAATGCAAACTAGTACTACCCCTCTGGAAGACAGTGTGGCAATTTCTGAAAGAACTAGAAATTGACCTTTCATATGACCCAGCAAAGCTCTTATTGGGAATATACCCAGAAGAACTCAAATCATTCTGCAAAAAAGATACCTGCACACACATGTCTATTCCAGCTCTATTCACAATAGCAAAAACATGGCACTAACCATGGTGTCCATCAAAGCAGAGCTATATTTTTTAAATGTGGGACATGTACACAATGGAATATTATGCAGCCATAAAGAAGGACAAACATATGGACTTCGCAGTAACTTGGATTTAGAGTCTATCATACTCAGTGATCTATCACAG